GATAGGGTCAGTCAACCGCAGACACTGAACAGAGATTGGAGGTTCAGAGAAGAAAAATCTGGGTAATTCTTCCCTTGTCTGCTCTGGGGAGCATCTTCAATAGCATGGCAGCTGTATCTCTTCCATGGTTTCAGCCCTTAGGAAGCCCCTCCATGTATGGTGCTAGCTTGAGGGGCACACCTCACTGGTTCTCATGGTAAGTTCCCTCCTTGGAACTACCTAGCAGATTTGTCACTTGGAGAGGCCAGGAAGAGAGAGAGTGTTGCCAGCCCCAGCTGGTCTAGTAATCCTTGGTGAGGTGTCAGGAATGAGTGAAGTCATCTTGAATAAACAGCTAATGTACTTTTTAAAAAACCCTGCCTCTATTACATAACAGAATCCTTATTTAATAATGATAATGGAATAACATGAATACTAACAGAAAAGAAATGCAAAGTGAAAATTTTCTCCTGCTAAACTTTGTATCTATAATCATGTTAGTTAAAATTAAATAAAAATAGAAAATAAATATTATAGTACAAAAAAAGCAAGGGATTACTATTTAACAATAGTAATGTATTTTGAAAAAGGAAAATCTCCATATGGTCTGCTATGAGAATTGGTACATTGTGAATAATAAAGTCACCTTTTCTGAATTTAGGCTATAAGTTTTGCAGTAACTTCATTGAAATTAATTTTTATATATTAATGTTTAATAGGCAGTATAGCCAGATTCGCCCAGTTATTTTTACACATAGTTGAAAAACATTTGTTAAGCTCTTAATTTCAAAAGTTTCTTTTACATGAGCAACAGATGTACAAGTAATTAGGAAAAGACTGTTAACATAATGAAAAGTTTGGCAGAGATTCATTAAAATCTCCTTTCACAACAAACCCTAGGAGTTGCAATACGTCTACATCTTTGTTTCTTTGGGAATAATTATAATAGATTTCAGATGTCTTTGTAGTTGAAAATTCCTCACTAAAATATCTTCATCAAAAAATTCATCATAACATTTATATTACATATGGTAAAAACATCTGAAATTTTTATTCATCTATAAAATCAGAGAAAATGGCTGAATGATAAAAAATGTTGACATGACGATCTATTGCTTTAGAATAAATGCCCAATTACTGGTGAAAAAGTTCAAGGCATTCAAATGCTTCTCTACTAATTTCTTCTAGCCATGTAAGACCAACGTCTTTTCTATTCTCTTGGCATTTTCTGAAATTTGATAATTTTTCCTAAATAAATTACCATTTTCTTGCTTTCTCCACAATTTCTATGTACCATTCTTGTGATTAGACTTTGATATGATATTTTATGTAAAAAATTGTCCAGTAAGGAATAAGTTACCAAAAGGTTACAACTTAGGTAACTCTTAATTACTGTGACTGATATAGTATTAAATTTTCTTAATTCATTCTTTAGTTTTAACTGAATTAAGAATTTAAAAAGAAATTTGAATTTTAAAGATATGCAAAATCAGTAAGTTCATGTATGAACTAAAATTCCCATTTTACTGAACATAATATTACACCTCTCAGTTTGCCCTCTGTCTCATAATAGACATAATGAACATAAATAGAAACTCACATAGAATGATAGAATTGAGAAAACTCAATTTCTGCTTTGTTATATCTACAATTACTCTATTTCAAATCTACAGCCTATGTGTAGGGTAACTAGCTCCACAAGGATTGAAGACCCAAAATATGACTAAAGTAAACTTGAATAATTCTGAAGTCAAAAACTAACTCTTGAAATAAATGCATGTAGCTGAGTATGTGTTAGGGGCCTGCGATATAAGGAGGAGTTCTCCAAATTAATTTCCATGTAGGGTACAATGTTTAGTAAGGTAGGTAATAAAGATGTGCTAACTTGAAGCAGATATATATGTGTACTTCATGTACACACATATTTTATATATATTATTTTATAATATATATTAATTATATATAAATATATAAATATATTATATATTTATATATAATTAATAATTAATATATCTAATATATAAAATATATAATTAACATATATTATTAATTATATATTATATATTTTATATATTATATTTATTAATTTATTTTATCTTTATTTTATATATATAATCAAAATAGTAATAATTGAAACAACAAAAGATTGAAACTAAAATAGTATTTTGGGGGAAAAGGGTTTGACATAATGGAAAAAGAATCACAATACTTAATGATGTCATTGAGCCTGCCTTCAGACTTCTTACTGTGATTTAATAAAATAAATTATTAACTACAGTTAACTGGGTATTGTCTTACATGGAACCAAAAGATTCCTAATCAATATACTTTATAACTTATCTTAGGAAGCTGCTTCTGGATAGAAAGATTCTTTGTTCCCTGTCTCCAGCTCCTTACTTTGCACTCATTGTCTAGTCATCCTGGCATTTGCCCTCTGAAATAGCTGATGCCAGTGGCACCAATGACTCTATTGCTTAACCAGCAGGGCACTTTTCAGTCATTAATCTTACCTGAATCTATCTTCTGACACTGTTTGCCATCTTCACTCTCAAAATATTTTCTTTCCTTGGCCTCCATGACAGCACAGTTGGTAACTAAATATATACTTTTTATTTTAAAGTTAAATACTTGATGTTTCTGGTCTATAAACTCCATAAAGGAAGGAGCCATATTTGTCCATTGCTTTTCCCATACCTGATCTATAGTAAATACTCAACAAACATGTATAGACTAATGATTATTTTACTAAGGAAAGCAATTGCCCATGGGATACAGGAAAGCCTTTAGTAGATAGTTGTGTAGTCTGTGCCCTGTCAGGGACAGATCTCAGAAAAGCAAGTCTTTTCCGAGTCCAATAGTCTTTCTACCACTCTTCTTCTGTGCTTTATGGTATGCTAATACTTCCAAAAGCTATTTCTGAAGAAAATATAATTATGTTATTATTCATAATATAGCTTCCACAAACCACGGAACTAGTCTAAAGCTACATTAATAATGGTAGAGAAATAAAGACAGGATGATAATCTTTATTTTTATATGAGGTCTCATCAGAAGAAGATATGATTTGCTTAATTTTTGGGTCTCTGCTTTTTTGAGTCTTTGGCTAAATGATGCTTCCTGGTTAGCTGAAATTTTCTTCTTTTCACGGCTGTTGTGTTTCCTAATGTCAACCCTGTTTTTTATTCAATTCAAATGTGCACAAAATTCTCTCAATAAAATTTCAAGATCTATTCCGTCTGCTATTTGATGTCCCACACAGCATAATTCTGAATGTTTTATTTTCTGTCACCCTTCCTATCAGTGGAAAAGGAGAAAGACATAGATTGTTTAGGATATGAACATTAGCAACATAAAAGCATCCATAAATATTTTGATAATGATTTGACAGGGAAGTATTTCTGTAGTTCCAAAAAGCTTTCCTAGCTCAAAGGAAGAAAAGATCACTGTCATGTTTTTAAGAGCATTTTGTTCTAAATGTAGACACGTATTTCTGCACGGCACTAGACTTCTTTGGAGCATGCTGCTTGTTTCTGTTCACGGCTGACACATCCTGGAGTCGATTCCTTTGAGACCTCTCACATGTGTAATCCACTTTCTAGAAGCTAGTGGTTTTAGTTAGGCTCTTCTAAGTCAAGTTTCTCACCTAATTGGTTTATTGGCTATCAGGAGCTTCAGGTCCCCACTCTATTTCTCCAGCAGGGCCTTTCTCCTTGTTAGGATTTCTCATTGCCTGGGGCCTCTCAGCATCCCTTTTTATGCATTTTTCAACCAATTGATTTATTCCTTAATGGGTCAGAGTTCAGATTCCCATGGGAAGAAATTTGGTTAACCAGGCTCATCTTTCCATGACCCACTTGTGTCATACGTCAGTCTCTGGAGAGGCTGCCTTGCCAGGACCACTGAGCAGGGTGGGAATGGGGGTGTTAGAGAGACCCAATAGCAGCTAAAAGTTGGGGTCTCCTGGTGGCGTAGGAGTTAAATCTCAGCGTTATCACCAAATTTATTAAGAAATTCAGGAAGAAAACCTCTTTCATACTGTGAGGAGGATTTTTTTTTAAGTGTTCACCATTCATCTAAATATTCTGTTCTTTTTTGGTCAGATTTAGTGCTATAATAACTGTATGACATGGATTCAAGATGGTGCTTTCATTATTATTCTTCTTATACTTCTTGTTATTTATAGTATCAAGAGAAAACTGAGAGAGTCTATTTTTCTGAGAAAGTTTAGAGATGGTAAATAAATACCCTAAAGTTAAGGACTATAGAGAGGCAAAGAAAGAAAAACAGGATCAAAGACCTTAACCAGCACCGAATTACAGACTCATGCTTCAGATTCATCTTTCTTTAAGACCTAGAGAAAGTTCAAAGGATATACAACAAATATATGAGCATAACATAAATGATAAATGACAAACTACTTTTTACAATTTTTTTCTGTTAACCCCGCCCAAATAATTTTGAGAAGGATACCAACGGGTCCATTCTAAATAGATTTTTTCTAGCTATAAATAGAGGGACATTCCTGTCAGCTTTTAAGCTCTTGTTTGACCTGTTTTGTCAAATGCTTTCTGGAATGATATTCAGAACGGCACAAAGTGGTGTCAACTTGCATTAATTCTTTTCCAAAGAGAGGTGTTCAGCATTCAAACTGTGTTTGTACTGGCACAATCTATTTATGTTTCAGCTTCATTTCAGAAGGTTTACAAGTACTGCTTTATTTGGAAGACCATTCTTTCTTTTTTTGCAATTTCCCTTCTATTGTCCTTTGAAAAGACAATAATGATGTCCCATAAAGCTGCTTTTAAAGGAGGCCATTAAGAAATAAGTATTTCAGAAGACTGATTAAAATATATCAATGTAATTTTGCCACAGATTATAATCCAAAATTTTTTAAATTATCATTAATTCAACTGAAAAAAAAACCTTCTCAATGAAGTAAATAGATCAACAGCATTGCATTTTGTTCTTATGTAAAACATAATTTATTAATTTGTTTTTAGCTAATAAGAACCATGCACATGTTCTTAAAATTATATACTCTCCTGTAATTCAGTTATAATGATTGTATATTAGCAAACACTTAAACATTCTCCTGATTGAATTTCACAAACAATAATATAGGGCAATAAAAACATTCAAATTCCTTCATTATTCCATCTTGTTTAAAAAACAATAGAGAAAAGTTTGATTCTAAGTTTAGATTTCAAAGTGAATTCTTGATTTTGCCTCTTCCCCCAGAAATAAATTATAATTCTGAATATAGCATATAGCAATCATAATTCAGTTGACTGCTGAAGATCTTTTTCAGATTTTGTTCTTTCCACCTTTTTTCTGAAGCCGGTTCCTGGTTGGCTCTGTCAATACCAATGGTTCTTGTATGACGACTGCAGGGTAATTTTTGCCTAAAAGCTCAACTTCTACTTGTTGTCCCACTTTACTTAGCTCCACCGGGACATATGCGAAAGCCAGACTCTTCTGGATGCTGTAACTGTAGCATCCAGATGTGGTGTTGCCAACCACCTGAAAAACAAAATCTCTGTTCCTCAGATCTTGGTCACAGCTTTGTGCTCCTCTTCTCTAGAAGAAACACTTAACATACGATTCAACTCTGAAAGTTTTACGATAACATGGTGAGAAAAACTTTACTTTTTCAGTAGATTAATGAAAGTTTACAAATTATGAAAAATAACTCTGAAAGTACAAATCCTACTCTGAAATATTTCATTCTTCAATAATAAAACCTAGTTTCTTAATATCTGGCATTCTTTTGCTCAGTTTCCTGCGAAGAGATCTGATAGGAAGAAGGATCTAATATTATCATTTTTAACTCTAAAAAAGCCTTTTATCATCAAACTAGCATAGCAGTAATGGGTACAAGTAGTAAAAGTCTGAAATCCAAATGCTAATTTAGTCAACTGTCCCTGTTGGGCTTCAAAAAATGACCTGTCAAAATAGTGCTGAAGTGAGCTATTTATTAATATATCAATAGTCAATGTGATGTGAATATCACATATGTAATTATATACTATTTACATATAATATAATTTTATTTATTTATTTACTTACTTAAATACTTCTTTATATTGTTAGACATTCCAGAGAGGAGTCAAGGCCTGATTCCTACCTTCATGAATTTCCAGCTAGTTTAGGACTGAATATAGAGACACAAGAAAATACAACTAGGAAGCCAAGGAAATCACCATAATTAAGCAGGATTGCTCCATACTCTGAAGATGGACGGAATTAGGTAGGCAGAGATGGGGGATGAAACTTTCTAGGCTAGGTGATTGCAAGGAGTTAGGCATGAATAATCAAAATTAAGGAGAATTAAGGGCCTCCCCTGGTGGCGCAGCGGTTGAGCGCTGGGCTGCAAAGCTGCCGCGCAGCCTCTGCAGCACCTGGTCGATCCCCAGCCACCTGCGAGGGTCCCACATGGCGCGCAGACCTCTCCTGCCACCCACTGCTCCCCTCAGCAGTGTACTTCAGTCCTTCTGCCGTTCTGCCCCCTCCCCCCAGCTCTGGTGAACTCTCTCACCTGTACCCAGTGCTTGTATAAATAAAGAAATCTTTAAAAAAAATTTAAGGAGGATTAAGTAGGATAACTGGGCATGGCAAACCTGAAAAAAGACTGAGCATATAATCAAAATTCAGGAAGTGAAAACAAAGGCTTTGGTTCTAAAAAAATCTCTACATAACAAGCCTGATTAAAAAATAAGAGGATTCATGGAACCAGATTTAAAGGAAAGAATAAAAGGGAAAGAAAAACTGAGTAAAAAGCAAAAACATTACAATATAGAAATGTCAGGTTAAAACACCACATTTTTAAAAAGGAACAGGAAGACAACCAAAGCAAAGTGTGATGTGTAACCCTACTCAAAATGGCTTCTCCTGGCTACACAAGGGCATACTAACCACTACAGCCTCCTCAGCTAGCACAGAGGGCTGCTGGGACTTTTTCAAATCAGTCCAGTGGACTTTCAGTGTCTCAGCAAAAAGCCCACTACAGTCAACAGTGTTCTTACAGTGCTTCTAGTTTTTCTAAACTAACACATTTATGATATAAATACAGACTCCATAGTCCCAGTTTTTAATTATCTTGTTGAAACCCCAAATCAGAGGATCACAATATCATTTCTGAACATATTATGGTGAGGACTAGCTGATTAAAAAAACAATGTAAATGCATTCATTAGTCAAAGCTGCTCTCCTCTCCGGCAGATTTATTAACTGTCCAGATATTGCTGAGCTAACACACATGCTATACAATTGCTTTTCTCCCTTAGATCACAATTAAGTATAAAGCAGGGATTTGGGTCAGAGAGGTTGGCGTTTTAATCACTGCATTTTGAAAGACATTCTTGATAACATTGGCTTCATTTCCTAATCTATAAAACAGAGATTTGTATTTGGAGTCATGACATAGAAAACCTGGTTTGCTTGGTCATTTAAAACAAAACAAAACAGTAAGAGGCCTTAGTAAGCTCTTGTTCAAATTCCCTACTCACTGGATCAAAAACCTACAATGACTTGTCAGAGGCTGCGTGCACCATTTCCTCAGTCCTTCTCATATCTTAAAATCCCAGCAGTCATTCCTCTTAGAGTCATTCCTGCATTAGTAATGTAAAGAAACAGCATATCTATTTTTGAGTGCTACTTTGAAGTGTTTATTGAATGTTTTACTTTTTTGCTTGATTACTTTCATTTCTCTTCTAATTTCTCTCTAATCCAGGGGTGCGCAGTTCAGAGTATTTTAGAAGTCTAGTCTTTGCTTTTATCTTATTCATGGAAAGATTTTTCTCTAGCCTAAATTTTATATTTAGGCTTGAAATCTTCCAGATTTTATGAAATCCATTCCTACTTTTTGCTCAGTAAATGGTAAGAACAGTCCTTCCCTGCCCTCTGCATAGTAGATTCTCATTCTCAAATTCTTTGTGAAATCAAACATTGGCCTCCTTTTAGTACTGTAAACAAGCCTCATTTATTTTCAGCCTTTTCTTATTCCTCTCTTAATTATGTAACTTGCAGATACTGCTAACTGACTTAGGGAAGATAACACAGTAAATGACACTTACCATGGTAACATAGTTTAAGTTAGACAATATCATGCATTTCTTTGACAGTCCCTTTCACTTTTGTTTATAAATAATGAAAAAGAAATGTTCTAAACTCTTGAAACTTTCTCTAATATATCCTCTTAAAAAAAACTTACCTGCCACAGCCACCCCGGTGGCGCAAGGGTGTTAAGTCTCAGCACTATGAAGCTATTGGCAGCCACTGCAGCACAAGTTCGATCCCCAGGCAAGGATCTAACCCACATGGCGAAGTGGACCTCTCCTGTCTCACCTGCTGCTTCCCTCAGCAGTGTATCTCAGTAGATCTGCCTGTTCTGCTCCCCAGTCTGTCTCTGGTGAATCCTCTCACCCCCTGTACCTCTGGCTACATCCCAGCTCTTGTATGGATAAATAAGTAAATGTTTGGAAAAAAAAAAACTTACCAGCCAAAGTTTTATAACTAATAAAAGCCTTTCTCATGCCTACCCTTATTATGCTTTAATTTAAAAATGAATTCTAAAATTTAATTCTTAAGTCATAATCCCTCTCTCCAGGACCGCAGTCTCGCAACTGGACTCCACTTTTTCCCAGGGCACTAATTACTCTGCCATGCCATTTATTTATTTTGTTCATTGCCTATCTCTTCATCCCCTGGAATGTAAGCCCCATGGGGGGCAGAGACTCTTGTCTGTTTTCTCACTGCTGCATTCCAAATGCCAAGAATATAGAGGGATTAGACATTCAATAAAAATATATTAAATGAATGAATAAAGTTGTACCCTATCTTTAATACTGTAATATTATGAAAATAGAATTCCAAATACCAAGCGTGGTGCAAGTTCAAAGCTAGGAATTAAAAAGCAAGCAATTTTATTTCCTTCCAGAGTACAAAGTGGATCAAAGGGGACCATCTGCATGATAAAATGACCCCTCAAATCATCAAAGTACAGAGAAGCTGACACAGGGAAAATTCAAGCAATACATCATTTTTTTTTTAAGATTTATTTTTATACAAGAACCAGGGTACAGGCCAGATGCACCGGAGGGTGAGAGGATTCACCAGAGACAGAGCAGGGAACAGAACAGGCAGGCTGACGAAATACACTGCTGAGGGGAGCAGTGGGCGAGACAAGAGAGGTCTGTTTCGCCATGTGGGATTCTCGCCAGCCAGCCAGGATCAAACCAGCACCGCAGAGGTGGCGGACAGCTTCACAGCGCTGCGCTCAACCGCCTGCGCCACCAGGGAGGCGCCAATATATTATTAATAAAGGAATAACAATTGCATTAGCAGTTTTATAAGCAGATGACACAGAATAGAAAAGTTGAAAAATATAGCTTGTGAATTCAAAGCACAGATATGGCAAAGGAAATAAAATTTTGAATGAAATTTGGGTTTCCAGGACTCTTCTCCCACAAAAAAATTTATTGAGATATAAGTGACATATAACATTGTGTAAGTTTGAGAGGCAGGTTTCCAGGGTTTTCAACTTTAACTTGGGTATTTTATTTTAAATGGCTACAAATCTACCTGTTGATCATGGCTGATATGGGGTTACATATGGAATACTACACTATAATGACACTATTATTCAGTGGCCAAGTAGAATAGATTGTTGTTGCAAAGATAGGTATGGACCATGTTAGGAAGAAAAGGAAAGCTGGATGAGAACAGAATGAAAAATGTAAAACAAAACAAAATTGAGGTAGGGAAAATATAATGACTAGAGGGAAAAGTTAGAGGTAGGGAGAACCTTAGACATTATCTCACCCAACTGTTTCATTTTATAGATGAGAGAACTGAGGTCCAAAAAGGTTAAGGTCAGAACCAGAAGTTAGTTCATAGTACAGGTGGTTATCAGTGGAAATTGTGAGCAAATTTTAAAGGGAAGGGAGAGCATATTAAGAAGGTTGAACCTGAGATCTAGAGCACAGAGAGAAAGAGGAGGCTGCGGGGTAAGAGTAGGTGTGGTTCAATTAGAAGAGCAAACTCTTTTTTTTCCCTTAAGATTTATTTATTTTTACAAGCACTGGGGTACAGGCCAGAGGTGTGGGAGGGTGAGAGGATTCACCAGAGACAGAGCAGGGAGCAGAACAGGCAGAAGGACCGAAATACACTGCTGAGGGGAGCAGCGGGTGCAATAGGAGAGGTGTGCAGCGCCATGTGGGAATCTCTCTGGCTGGCCAGGAATCGAGTGGGCGCTGAAGAGGCTGCAGACAGCTTCACAGAGCTGCGCTCAACCTGCTGCACCACCAGGGAGCCCAGAAGAGCAAACTCTTCAAAATTAAAGGTGGGACATTTAAGAAAGGGTTTGAGGTCTGAGCAAAGCCTGTTGGCTTCACTGTGTCTAATAACATCCACCTGTTTTTCAGACAGACACACACCCTGTCCGTGTATAATTGATAAAGAGAATACAGTGGGACAGCAGTAGAGACAGAAGTAGAGTAGAGAATACAGTAGAGACAGCAGTAGAGACAGAGCAAAATGGAGTACTCAGCATGGCTTAGAGGAAAGGGTAAGCATATCAAAGTTCAACTACACCTGAGCTGGAAATCAGGCTAGTTGTATAATCACAAGAAAGTTACTTAACCTCTCCGACACAAAACCTCATTTTAAGATGGGAATGATCCTACATCATTTAAAATGGGAGAGGTATTATAAAAGTAGATAAGAGAATTCATGAAAAATATCCAATGTGTAGTAGAAACTCTGTAGATGTTAGTTCTATGTCAAACTGATCCAGGCCTAAGCCCAAATGGCATTTCCTTGGTAATCCAAAGGCCATCCCAGCCCTAAGTGCTTTTTGTCACTCTGAAAAGAAGGGGGAAATGGAAACACATACCAAGGAGGTTGAAGTGCATGAGAAAAAAAACCTAGGCATGGAACCTCAGAGTCTTGGTATTGCTCAAGTAAAGAACAGCTGTTGAAGGATCATGGCCGACCCGATGTCCTCTCCATGGTCTAAGCTGAGTGTCCCATACTTGCCTACTGATACCGGTCAAAACACAGCAACATCTTAGGGTTTTATAAAGAGTCATAAAAAATGGAGTTATCTGAATAACTCTGGTTTTATGCAATATTAATAGATGAATGAAATGTAGTATTCCAAAATAAGAATAAGGTAATTTTACACTGCCTTGAGAAGCGAACTGGTTTTTACTTTTTTACTTTACTTGTTAGGTTCTGCCCTCTATTATCATAGATGTTTTCATTTCAAAATTTTTTTCTGCTACTGTGCTAAGAATTGCCTCCTTCTGAAAGCTCCCCAGAGGCTAAATCTCAATACCAAATTCTTTACGAAAGACTGTCTCTTGCATTCACAGAATGGACGTGATGAACAAACAGATCGTTTTACCTTCCAAATCATACCTTCCTTTTTGTACAGTGAATTTCAAGTCCTTGGTTAAGTTTTTTTGATCAAAGCATATAGAATGTTACTTGTTCAAAAACGAGCAGTATTTTATTTTCCCTCCTGTTAATTAATTTGTTTCTTGAATTTCAGCTCAGAAATCAAAAGTGTGTCATGTCTTCTCACCCAGAGATAAATAAATAAAACACTGCAAAAGGCAACAGAAACAATGAGCTCTTCTGTTGCAGAAGAGCTGCCCTGGCTGAGCCCCCGGCACTCACCTTGCCATCACACCAGATGCTTTCATTTCCCTCTGGATCAACATCGTCCGTTGCCAAGGTGAGGCAGACCAGTCTCCGTTTCAGCCCCTTGGCTTTAATCTGTTTCAGTGCTTGCTTTCCTATGAAGTCTGCTGGCTGCAGGAATCCAAGATAATGATGATGAATGAATGCTCAGACACTGTGACAAGGTTAGAGATGCAAGCATTTAAATTTGTCTTTGCTATTTTCTCGCCAATTACACATTAAATAAAAATACAGATTGGATCAAATGTCTAGACAAATATTTCTTAGTCCTCAAATGACAGTCTCAGCCGCCTATTCCTTCAGAATAGGTTAGACTTAAGGATAATAACTTGTGATAACAATTTTACCAGAACCATCTAGGCAGAAAAACATAAGGCATGATGTTGCAATGGTAGATTATGAAAGTGACCCTTATAGCTAATGATTCTGGACAGTGGTACTGGCTGGCAATGAGCAAGGCACAACTCAATTTCTACCTAAAGTAAGCTTTTTACAAGAAGGTAATTCACTTTTTGAAATGTGATGCCAAAACCACCTCAAAATGCTGTATATGTATTTTTTCCTTTCTTAGAATAAAGATATTGGAAATATATTAGCCTGCTGGGTTGCATTCATTAGTTCTTTCAGGATATTTATTGAGTCCTGACTATGTATGAGGCATCATGATCAGTCCTATGTGTGTTACAAAATTAGTCAGACACACACATTTTGATCAAACAGTTTATTCTGACAGTGTGCTTTTGAACCTTTTTTTTTTCTCCTTCCATGCAACACATGACAGATGATATTCCTACTAGTGCTCTCCCCTGGGCAGGCTCAGGGTTATTCCCAATGCAATGAAAGTGAGTAAGAGTGACATTTTTACAAAGACAACCTTGAATCCATTCTTATGCATTAGGAAAAAAAGTCTTTGGAACAAGCAAACTTCAGGACTTTCACAGTGTTAGCAAACCACCTTCTGACTGAACTGAACAAACAGATGAGCAAGGCTCCTCAAAGGAGACATTCAGCTAATAAAGGAGATACATTCAACCATCAGAACGTCAAGGACACTGGACAAGTGTGAGAAACTAGTTAGAAGCTAAGAGTAATCAGTGCAAAGGAGAGAAGTCTGATACCAGTGGGTGCTGGGGTAAGGTTTCTACATAAATGTTCCCAAACAAGTACCTATTATCTTATGGGGGGAGGGGGAATTTGTGACAAAGAAATCATATCTCCAGTGAATGAAATTTAGAGATGACAGTGTGAAAAACAAATTTCTCGAAACAGTTCTAGTATACAAGCTAGTCTCTGAAAGCAAAGAAAGGAAACAACAATTTTAATTTTTCCTGGTGGTAAGAGGAAAGGAAACATTATTTCAAACCAAAGATGTTCTTCACCATCAACATCTAGGATTTAAACCATTATTTCTGCACACAAAACATAAGGTGTGAGTGCAACAGGTCCCCCTAATCTTCAGTGAAGCAGCAGTTCCGGACCTTACAAGTGCTCTGCCTGAGACCCCTCAGTTTACTCCCTGACTGATTCAGAGCTTATAGATAAGCTCACAATGTAGTATGATTTCTGTGGTGATTGCAACTTTAAATTGTTGACCTGCCTAGGAAGCTAAAGAAAGCTTCCATTGGCCAAGGTTAAAACAATGTGCAGAAAGAAAATCCAACTCTTCTCCTCCCTCTAATGTAATTCAAAGGGTGAAACCAAATACAAAGCTTTATTATGAATACAATGAAAATGAGATAAAGAATCTAAGACTGGGGGCCCCCTGGTGGCGCAGTGGTTGGGACGCAACCTATGAAGCTATCCTCAGCCACTGCAGCAAGAGTTCGATACTCGGCCAGCCAGGGAGCAACCCATATGGCGCAGCAGATCTCTCTTGACTCACCCGCTGCTCCCCACAGCAGTGTACTTCTATCTGCCTGTTCTGTTCCCCACTCTGTCTCTAGTGAATTCTCTCACCCCTGACAACTCTGGCCTGTACCCCAGCTCTTGTATGCATAAATAAATAAATCTTAAAAAAAAAAAAAAGAATCTAAGATTGGAACCTAAGGTACTTAAGACATCTACTTGGAGAAAATGACAACAAACTTGTAGGAGATTAACAAATCATAGTGAACCAAATTTCACTAAAGTATGTATATCTAAATAAGGAAAGAACTATAGAGCAACATTTTTTGCTTACTTTTAAAAAGAAGGCTTTCTATCATAAATATAATATTATAAATCATTGATACTTCAATAAAAATACAATTTTTCAGACTGATTGTATATAGGAAGGCAACTGATTTTTTTTATATTGATTTTTGCATATTTACACAATGGAATACCACTCAGCAATCAAAAAAAGACAAACTAATGCCATTTGCAGCAATATGGATGGAGCTGGAAGGGATTATGCTAATTGTAATAAGCCTGAAGGAAAAAGATAAATATTGGATGGTTTCACTTATATGTGGAATAAGGAGAAACCAAACAAAAGGTCGAGAAAAGGACAAAACTAGCAAACTGACCATAGATCTGAGGCCTACAGCAAGGGAGGAAAAGGGTGGGGGAGTCAAAACAGAGGAGAGTAGAGCACAGAGGAATATAGTGATGGATGATGTGGTAGCGGGAGAATTATGGCATCTAAACCTGAGGGGCGAAACCACTTACTGCACAAAAATGAACAACAATGTAAGAAAAAAACATACAATTTTTAATAACCTAATAAAAGTAAACAACACATACTTAAAATACAGATTAGAGATAACTTTAATCTGCCTCTTGAGACAATTCTCCTTCCCAAATTTATCTTGTGCCTGATTTGGGCAGAGGCAACGTGGGGTTATGGCATTTCATTCTCATTTTACTTGGCTTTCCTCCCAAGATTGCAGATTTTATTCTACTATGCAATTATTAATTACAAATGAGAGAAGAAAATGTACTGAAGGTTAATGCTGTGATTAAAATTGGTGCTTTCAGGGTGACCTGAGAACAAAAATATATCTTTTTAATGAGTCACTGCCCAATTAACTATATAAATAGCTGCTAATGTCATTGAGAAATGTATACATTTCTGGGGCACTGAAACTATAGCTTAAAAATAATTTTGGCTTTTTTTAATTATTAATTTTAAAAGAAAATAAGTCATTAAAACAGTCACCTATAATACATACTAAATATAGATGAAAACATTAAGTAAATTTTAAGTGAAATATAATTACTTATCTCTTATTATCTCTATTAAAAAGCAAACATGAATCTAAAAGGAAATGAAGGAAATTAAGACTATATTTTTGGTGGTGATTCTCAAGGCAATGGAGAGTCATCAGATATGTGTTTCATGTGGAATCTGGCAGGAGTAAGGATAGGAAAACTTTGATGCTGGCAGTCAGGGTAAAGGGCTCTCTTAGACCAGGGTAGAAATGAGAAAAACCTCATCTTGCCCTTTTTCTGTTTGATATATTTGGAGTCAAACCCATAAAAAATTTTAAGAAAGTCATCAGTTTGATTTGATTTGTTTTTTACTCCAAAATTGTTTTAAGCTAAATATCAAAAGTTCCCAAAGGTGTAAGAGAATCAGTATAAAGTCCAGGTCCCAAGAGAGACCTCTTTAGAAATCAGGGAAGGCACTGGTTGTGAGATTATGCTCCTGGTTTACAGGAGTGGAGAGAATAGCAGAGAGACTGCTGGTTACCAGCTACTGTAACTGGCAAAGTGGAGGAGATGACAAACTGTCCCTCAATCCTTTCCTGAAAAGTTTCTCATTTAAAATGGGGTTTTGGGTCTCTCTGGTGGCACAGGGGTTAAGTCTCAGCACTATGAAGCTACAGGCAGCCACTGCAACGCGAGTTTGATCCCCAGCTAGGGAGCTAACCCACACCTCTCCTGTTTTGCCCTGGTAAAGCAGACCTCTCCTGTCTTGCCTGCTGCTCCCCTCAGCAGTGTATTTCAGTAGATCCACCTGTTCTGCTCCCCACTCTGTCTCTGGTGAAACCTCTCACCTCTCCTCTATGCCAGCTGGACTGGCATGCAGCCCAGCTCTTGTATGCATAAATAAATAAAATAAATCTTTAAAAATAAAATAAAATGGGGCTAGGAGATGATTGTTTAAAAACAATCCTCTCATCCTAGCTAGAGGAACCAGGCAAGAGAAAGATATAAAAGGAAACCAAATTGAGGAAAAGAAAGAAGTAAAACTATTGTTATTTGCAAATGAAATGAAAAGAGCTGAAGGACACATACCAAGAAAACTATAAGACATGGTTAAAAGAAATAGAAGAAGACACAAAGAAATGGAAAGATATTGCCTGCTCACAGATAAGAAGAATCAATATTGTCAAATGGCCATCTGACCCAAAGCAATATGAAGAGTCAATGTAATCCCAATAAAATTTTCAATGGCATTCTTCAAATAAAAAGAACAAACATTACTGGAATTCATATGGAACTAGAAAAGATCCCAAATAGTCAAAGCTGTCCTGACAAAAAGAGGAAGAATGGTGATAGCACACTTTCAGACTGCAAACTCTACCATAAAACCACAATAATTAAAACAGCATGGTACAGAGAAACAGACAGACAAATGGAATAGAACTATGATTCCAGAAATAAATCCACACTTATATGGATTTGGATAGTTAATCTATGAGGAAGGAACTAAGAATGTACAGTGAAATAAGGAAAGCCTCTTCAAAAAATAGTGTTGGGAAAAATTGGACTGCCACATGCAAAAGTATGAAACCAGATCACTATCTCACACCATACACAAAAATCAACTCAAAATGGATAAAAGATTTGGATGTAAGATCTGAAAGTATAAAATACAGAAGAAAAGAAGCAAAACACTCTATAAGTGAAGCTTCAGTGATGTCTGCAGATTTATCCAGCAGCAAGGAAAACAAAAGAGAATGTAAACAATTAGGATCCATCAAACTAAAAAGCTTCTGCACAGTGAAAGAAATCACAACCGAAACACGAACACCCTACTGAGTGGTAGAAAATATTTTCACACCATACATCTGACTAGAGACTGATATCAAAGATCTGTAATGAATTCATACAACTCAACAAAAAGAAAACAATCAGCACTATTTACAATAGCCAAGATATGGGAACAACTTAAGTGCCCCAAA